TCACTCATAAATGCTGATATACCGGCCAACGGACCAGTCATTAAGGTCAACAAGCGTTTGTCATATTTCAAATCGGTCAAATCCATCACATATATAATGGAAGCTTGTTGGCCTGCATTTTAATGGGAGATTAAAGTTTTAATTTGGTGAAATCACCTTACACTATTCAGCGTTAATGATTAATACAAGAATGCAGTGTAAGTGATTTGATTTTGATTGGTACAATGAGCTATCGCTTATTGGTATATTGACTACACTTTGTTCAATTATTGAATTTCATTATCAATTCTGTAAATTTAAAGCAAATAATTACGCAGCGTTTTGATTTAAAATACCATATGAATGTCCAGAAAAATGACCATTGGTAATTTTCCAAAAATATGTTTACCAGTTTTTTTCTCCATTTCCATTATTTCACGTAGCAACAATTCAAGATCCTGAGTTCTGGCCATCATAATTTCATTTAATGAGAATGTCTGTATCATTCCCCAGTAATCATTTCGTCCAGTTTGCTCGATATTAACAATAGCATTTGGAGTTTTTATTGCTGGGCCAGTTATACCAGCCTGGAACTTATAAATGTTCAACCAATAACTACAAATCTAAATATTTCATAAAAGAAATTTCAGAAAGGATTGAACCAATTGAATTAATTTTATCATAGGAATTAAAGAATGAACTTAGCATGCGGAATATAATCTGCACAGCGTTATTGTATTAAAGTACCTTCCAGTAAGTATGTAACGGATGATTACGAGGTTTGCTTGCCATCATGTCCAAATCCCATTTTGATTTTCGAAGGAGTAAGTGATTCCTTAATTTTGGTAGTAAAATGTCAAAGTTGTAGTTATGACCTTGGAGCCATCGCAATAAGTTGAATTCGGTGTCGTAGTATGGAGTAAGCTGAACGTTTTATTACTAGCAAAAGTACTAGCAAACGTTTTATTACTAATAGTGATAGCAAAAGTTTTAACATCTTAATGTTCTGCCGAATTGATTCAAACCGTATCCAATTAATTGGCATTAAAATTAATCTAACTTAATGATTAAATCAAATTTATATGATACATTAATGAACTAATAATGGTAGAAAGTACTGTACCTCATCTTTAACAGCTTCCCGTAATTTTGCAATGTTAACTTTGTCTTTTTCCGATATAGTAGAAGGAGGCATCAAAAATCTGTAGCATATACTTGGATTAGCAAACAAATATGAAATAAATCAGAAATCATTTATTTACTTGATGATTGTTAAAACTTCTGTAAATCTTTCACCGAATAACATCAATTAATTAGATAACCGATTAATTAATTTTCTCAATCGATATTTGCTACCTACTTGAAAAATTTAGGAATGTTCAACTAGACAGTTTCGTTAGCTTAAGTGATTTTTTTTTAGATGTGACAAAAGATTATTTGTTTATTAATATGTCAGCAGATAAAATTATATCAAAATATTTCATATTAATGAAAGAAGTGATGAAAAAAAAAAAAAAAAACACTAATAATTTCACGCGGGGTGGGATTTATAGGTTGATTGATTGATTAATTGATTGCAAATAAAATCATTTCAACATTTGTTTTTGTCATGCTTCACCGATATTCCCAAAAGATAATATCATATCATTCCGGAAAAGCCTTTGTATTTATTTTCGGTAGTGCGGGGAGAGTTACATCCTCCAAAGAAGACATTGCATTCTATTAAAAAGTTGTATTTTCATACTTTTATCATCCATAACGTAAGTCTCTTCCATTCCAAAACTCAAAAGAAGCAAAACAAGTCATTTCATTTTGATAAGTATTACATTAATTGTTCTTATGATTATAATCTAATTCATTACTTTCTAATTCTTAGTGAGAAAAAGAATTTTTGCCTTTTTTTGGGAAACTGTGAATCAAAGAATGCAAATGAGTGTTATTTGTGCCCTACAAATTTATTTCACTTTTTGGGGAATTTAAAATTACTGTTTTGGAATTTGAAAAAGAGTAAATTGTACGCAGTTATGCATCCAATGAGTAAGATAGCAAAAAGATAAATTCATTAAAAGTATTTTGAAATTGGCAACATTATGAATTTTGGGTTTTTTGGGCAGTATTTGCTGTGAATGATTGAGAATATGACAAAATTTAAAAACTTGAACACAGATTACATTGATATTTTTTATTTACAATATTCTTAAAAGCAGAAAGTAAGAAAAAATGTGACCATCCTGTTGATAATACTAATAAGAATCACTGATTCAGTAAATCAATTAATTGAATAATTTTATTAATTTATTATTAATCGAATTAAATAGTATGTTTTGCTTTAGAATAGAGAGTTAGATCGTTTGTAGAGGAAAGAGTCTTTAGTAGGAGGAAGTAGTATTACCTTGGGCGGAAAGTTTTCTTCATGATTATATCCTTATAACAATCAATAAAATTCGTGTTGTGCTGTAGACAAATGAACTTAGTCAGAAGATAATGAAAAATTGATGGGATAAAAAGTTTATTTATTAATTTCTTCCTATAAATAGCTTGAAAGTGTCTTGAAAACAGAATGAAATGAAGCAAATGAAATGAAATGAACCTTTTGTGACAGGAAGGAAAAATATGTGACAGAGATCCACTCCGAAAGTGGGAAGGCCTTAGTGAAACAATTCGCGTGTCGTTTTAAAGTGTGTTACCCCGATTTGTATTCATCCCATGTCTTTGTTATTACTATGTATATTTTTATCTTCTAAACCAAATTCATTAATATAAAAAATTGATGAATATTATATCCTAAATTATTTTGAACTTCCGTGTTTAGCAAAAACTATGACTAAACATTTATTTGAATCTCAATTTTATTTACTTCATAAAATATGGTGATAAGTTAATCAACCGATTTGATAAGGCGATTAATACAAAAGCTGTATATGTGAAGATGGAACTGAACTTTCCATTGAATTTCGGACTCATCTTACTAAAGGTCATTGAAAGATTTCATGCTAATCCAGTATATCCATTTCTAATAAACTCTCAATGTGTCATGCTTTAAAACTATAACTCTGTTAAACTTCGAAATAGAATCATCGTTAGCATTGTTTATGAAGACAAGATATTTCACTTTGAAGATGGATTAGCTAAATATGATGATTACAAATTTTAGTACTTTACAAAATAACAAATTTTGAAACAATAGATAAAGCATTATTTTGAAATTTTAGTAAACAAGCCTAAAAAGAGAATTTATTAGAAATTGCAGGAAGAATGTTTCATTTTTTTCGCACTGAAAGAAGTGTATGTTTAAAAAAGTCTTAGAGACAAGAGAAATGGCGACAAAGTGACGAAAGACGTTTTGACTGGATGAATAGAGTCGTACAGCATGTAATCAAAAACCGGTCCTGTATGACAACACCTTACGAACTGATTCTTATCATGCTGTTATGATAGTTGACAATATTGATAGCTTAGTTTATTTACACCACTTCTGACATATTTTTGAAGTTTTTGAAATCTATAATTGATCCACTGCTTCTTCAATTATTTTTGGCACAGTATGAACTGTTGAAGATTCATTTCAAACAAATGAGATTGCAAAATTTGAAAACTATCAATGAATAAAAGTATTAATGAAACTTTCAATGAAGTGGATAATCTCTTTTAATTGTAAAAAAAACTTTCAAAGCGCTAGTGGCTTTTAAAAATTGTCCTTCAGCTGTAAACAATTATTTAACGTGAAACAATTTATTGAAATTGCACTTAATAATTACCCAAACCTAAACTAGAAGTAGAAGGATTCGCCAACAAATTTAACCTATTTAAAATAATTGTTTTACCAATTCATTTACCTAACATTACACATGCAATAGATCTTAAATAATTTTAACGATTTTAAACGAGTTAAAATTAACGTACAATTTAACTGTTTATTACATATTTAAAATTATTCAACTAAAATTTGTGATTTTCTTGGTATTAAAAAATAACGAAAGACACAGCGGATATTTCTCAATATTACAATGTTAGCCTTCTCGATGCCAAAAAAATTTTTTAACGATAATATTTCATCATTTTTTTACACTTGACAAGTCTTGAATCCTTTTGGAAAATCATTTTGGACTTTCAAATACTTAAACTATTGATTTTTATTTTTGTTGAAATTGTATAACCTTAACATTGCGTAATAGACAAAGTTTTAAAAGTACGACCAGGAAATAATTGTTTTCCACCGCAGTTCATTCAGAAATGAAATCATAAAACAATTGTTAGAATATATGACAACGAAGTACGAACTTTGAACTCTATCCACAAGATCTAAATTTCATAAATATACAACTTCAAAGGTCTTAACAGTTAATATATATCACTTTCATTGCTTTTAAATGTCTACTTTAGAAACACTCTAAAAAATGCTAAATTTTCAAATGATTTTATGTTTGAGTTTTCATTTTCATTGGAAAGTAGAAAATCTTCTCTTGAAGATAACTGGAAGGAGGCTTTTATAAAAATCGGACAAATGCTTGTTTTGTAATGAATATTTCATTCAAAACAATCCAGCAAATAGGTATCTGTTTAGCAGTTTTTAAAACAGAATAATGCTTGATCTGAGTCTTGATCTCATCTTCATTATAATCTTGATCTCATAATGATAGCTATTGATTGACTGATTAGTTATCAATGTTCACTGCGAATGATCAAACTTTTTTTCACTTTGTTTGCATTGACAATTAGTCCGTTGAAATATTTTTGTTTATAATAATTTGGCAAAGGGTATTTGATACAGTAAAAAAGGAAAATTTCAACAAAAGTTTATGTTCATATTATGAGTTGTTGATCTTTATCAATGAACAAGTTATCAACAGAAGTAACGTAGGAATTAAAAGGGATAGTAGATCACATGATGAACAAGTTAGGGTTAATTAGTATTCAGCATTAATTAAGACATTTCTGGAATAAAATTTTTGAAGGAAATTTTTAGGTGAAGAAAGAGGTATCAAAAGAAAGGCAATCTCTCGGTCATTACAAAGATTACATTACAGGTGATTGAAACAACCAGGTGATAATACCGGAAGCGGCTCTCTTCGATCATTTTGTACTACCGGTACTCCCCGATTACCCGTCATATTGATTGTGAATAAATGACTACTACTTCCATCTTGAGCATCGGATAAAATCAACATATGTTCTGCTTTTGCCGGTAGTGCATTCAAATGCGGTTCTATCATATTCAGCGATTCCATATGTCGAGAGAGCAAAAAGTTACTACGAAATTCGTCGTCTGAAATTTCTTTTACGACCATTTGCGCCATATGTTTGAATAGTGTTAGAGTCCCATAAATTAATTCTTTTTTCTGCTATTTATAATATTACTTCAAAAGAAACAGATAAATACTCTCAGAAAGTGTCATAGTAGCAAACCACTGATATCTTTATTATTGAGAGGAGGTAGTGGCGGTCTTCGATATGGATCTAAGTTACTTGCGGAATTCTGACGCATCATTCGGAGATTCTCCTGTCTGTCGAAAATTGATTTCGGACAACATAACATCCACCTGCATTTTTAGTCTCTAAAGTGTTATGAAATTGAACTCAATAATACTTAATGATATCCTTAACTTGTCACTTGCTATTATTGCAGAACAATCATGTGAAAGCAGCAATTAACCTGGGCCACATAAATTGTGATATGTTATCAGAAGAATCAGCGTTTCCCCGATCACTTCCATTGCTTCTCCTGGATTTTCTACTGGAATTTCTTAACAGTACCAATCAATCAAATAAGATAAAATTTTTTAGATTAAAAAGTTCATATAGATCTATCCAAGTTTGTTCACTGTAGGCAATTTATATCGAATTATATCAAATTAGATATCTGTGCAGAATACGAAGTAAAAGAGATCAAAGTAAAAGCTTACTTCTTACTGAGTGCCAGATAAATAATAATAGTTATTAAAACAACAAGAATTAGTGATGTACCGGCACCGATCAAAATCCATATAAACCATGGGATTTCTTCTGAAAATAAGTAAAAGTTAAAAGACACCGTAGTATAAACAATTAGCTAAAATAGATTAATTTAAATCGAAGTAAATTGAAATTTGTTGTGATTTGATAATAATATTGACATTTCAGAAAATCGATAGAAAAGCGATTCAGATTGATCATTAATATCATCAGGTGATCAGATTATGAAACATGACCGTAACAAATGAATAGACTGATCAAGTCAGTGGTTTGTATTTGGTAAAAATAAAAAAAACAAAGAAATAAAAATCTTTGTTTGCATGAGCAAAATAAAAAATGAAACTGGCAAATTATAAAAATAATCAGAAATTTTGCGAAGAAAAAGATAAAGTGATAATTTTTCGATATTAAAATAATGAGAAATTTTTGTTGTTTATGTATGTTTTTGAGCGAAATTTTTATGTTTATAATCAAATAAGAAAGTAAATCAAATATGGAAGCTATAACTGATAATTCTGATTGAATAGTTAACAAACAAATGAGCAGATGTGCGGATGATGCATTTTAATTAAGATTTTCGGGAATGATAATGATAATTGGTTATTAGTGACATCATTGAATGAGTTATATAGTTCGCTTCTTATTGATGATACGATTAACCCTGAATAAAATAGTAGATCAATTGCAGAAACGAATCATATTCAACTTTCATTATCATATAGAAATGAACGTTTGGATTAGTCTTTGAGAGTAAAAAATAAAATCAGAAAATGAAATTAAAGTGTAACTTAAGAAAACAGAAGAAATAAACTTGCAAAAGCGAATATGAATTTGTCATAGATTTCTTGGTGGAGCATTACAAGAAAACAATAAAATCGTAATAATTTGTAGAAAAACTTAAATGAAAACGAAAAAATTAGTTTGTGCTATAATTTTGAAAAAACTAAATGCGTACCAAAAATATTCCAATCGTTTATTGTATTGAAAAAATTTTGAAGTGTTGAATTTGTGGAAGTTGTTATTGGCGTGACATTAAAACCATCATTGCTACTAATGCTGCTATTAGTCGAATTTTCAAAAAATTTTACAACTGCATCATCCCACTTCCATTGTGACCAATCATCCGTTATCACTGCTGTTACGGTTGCAATGTTGGTTTCAGTGATAGCAATCTTTTCCACATATGCAAGGATTGTTTCATTGTCCATTCGTCACTAATTAGTTTTCCCATAGGATTTAGGACAATGAAGTTTGGACATTTAAGTGGTATTTAGCTGTTCACATATATTTAAAACATTCTGAAAATGAATTTGTTTGAACTGAGTTAAAAACATTATTTTATCAATACGATAAATCCAGAAACCTTTGGTCTTTCATTTATAACCAAAAGACAAAAATGGATTTATCAACGTCTAATCTATTTAATTCAGCAAAAAACTCATGCAACTAATATCAGTGGAAAGAGTAAGTTCTACTTACCACTATAATCTTGCTGACAAAAAACACAGTTCGAAATATTTTAAAAGGTCAGGGGAATTGCATTCCAAATCTTAACCTTTCCATAACCATCACATTTAACCTTTGTTAAGGTTTCTGAAAAATTAATAAATACTGTCAAAGAGTTAAGGAAGATTTGACAAGGAGTAAAAGTGAACTGCTTTGAAATTATTCTCGAGAACAACGAAACAGAGCAATTTTAGAAGCGAATATCACAAAGAGTAAAACTGAATAATTATCATAAAAGTGTTCTGTTATCAGTGTAAAAAATTGGTTGATAAAATCAGATTTTACTAAAATTTAAAGGCAAATCGTCCGGTTAATGTCATACGCAAACACTAATTTAATTTTAATTGATTTTTTTAAATTAATTTAACAGTTATTGAGAATAATTATGGCTCTCATTTATTACATCAAGGTAATAAATAAAATGAGAACTAATAGAATACTGAAGATTGTTTTGTTGACGTAAATGTATTATCAAACAAAAAGCCACTTTATTATACTTTTTATGTTGAAATGGAGCTTAGCATATTTACACGAAGTAAGATAAATCGAAAATAAAGTTAGATTTTGAAATAAGTTCAAACAAAGTGCTTAAAGATAAAGTAAATTCACTTTGTTGTTGTCTAATCGGCTAAGAACAAAGCATTTGATGAAAGGTTAATAGTTAATAGTTTAAATTTTCACTGAGACTATGAACGCAACCGATAGATTCCTCGTTTTAAAATTTTTTACATTGATCAGAGTATATTTTTTTTGTCTGCCATTGCTGTAAAATATTTAACGTTTTATAGCGATAGAAAATTCTTTGGGATTTTTTTAACTTTAGACTAAGTGCGTTAAAAATAAAGGGATAAGCTACTAAACGTTATTGAAATATACATGCTTGTCTCATTAGCTGAAAGTACTTTCTGAAATGCACAAAATGAAATAAGCAATTAATATTTCTAGCATAAAAATGAAAAACTGATATTCTTAGTAATATTTTATTACTCAGTACTTATTTTAAAAGACCTTAAAAATATAAGTAATGCAATTAGGGAACGAAATACAAAGTGCCAAAGCAGTAAGTAAAGTAAAAACTTAAATTAAGCAGTGCATGAATGAACTTTCATACAAAAAAGATCTGAATGTGTGTTTAGAATTGGGCTTATTTACAAATTAAGGTGACTTCTTATAGATGCTAAGTAGATGAGTTGAATACAAAATTACAGTTATTTAGTAAATTTAACAAAGAATTAATATATATAGTAGGAGAGGGAAATGTGGACATAATTACATATATATATGTAAGCTTTTCGTTGCTAAGAGACAAGCTACGACTGGGTAAGAAAGGAGTATTGTGACGATTTGACTTAGAATCAGAAAAGAAAGAAATCAGATTATTTGAAATCTTAATTTGAATTCAATCCAGAAGTGTCCCTAATAATCAATCATAATTCTCTCATTCGTTTTTCACTCTCATTTCCGTCATTTCAATCATTTTTGAATTTCACTTAATGTAATAGGAATCAGTGGCAAGATGGAATTTAATTAATAAATTTTTACCTATTTATTTCCGTCATAGTATCTCATCGAAAATATCATTTCTTTTATGATATTATATCAGTCATTATGTTATCAATAGCAATGAATAAATGTGCTAAAAAGTTTTTGCAGTACTACTTTACAGGTAAAGTTCGATTCATGTCGATAAATTGGATATCATCAACAGTGATGATAATGGTGATTAATAATTTTAAGAATCGTATCGGTTAAAATGAAAAAAAAAAGTTTATAATTACCTCAAATTATCTCAAAAATTAATCGAATCAAATGATTTAAACCAATTAAAGTGTCAAATACCACAACAAGTAATGAAAATGTTATGATTCAGTTCGACAGATTCTAATATAACAAAAGATCGAATTCCGTGAATTATTTCACTAGGGTAGTTCACTTAATCACTACTACTTGTCTTATCTTGCATTCTTCTCCCTTTGCCACTGTGCAATCTCATCAAAAACATCAGAAAAGCAATTGGCGCTTACTTCTTCCTCAGAAAGTGCTATTATTTTACTAAAAAAAAGAAAAAAAAAACGTAATAAATTCAAAGTTATATTTTCCGTAAGCTTTTTTCTTTCAAAGTGGATTTAAGGTTGAAAATTTTTTCTTTTTGAAACTTTTTGAAAAAGTTATGGATGATAAATTTCATTTCTAAGAGTTCAAATTCTAATAAATTAATCATTTAGTACTTGCCGTGAAGATTTTGTACCGAAATGATATAAGGGACATTATGAGCAGTTGAACTGCTAAAAATGCAAGTGAAGAAAAAAAAAAACTGATAAAGAAAAATTATAGTAAAATAAAATCGACTATTTATTTAGCATTCAATAAAAGAAATTAAACTTCTTTTACATATTAACTACAAGTTGTCAAACAACAAACACTGGAACTAATGATTCGTTTTTTCTTTTGAATCGTTTCATTTTCTCAGTCATTCAACAATACAACAGCAATATGTTAAGTAATATTTCCAGAAAAATTCTCGAATCATCAATGGAAGGAAGAAAATACTGAAAGAATGGAAACGTTCCAATCAATAATTGCAGAAAATAGAAAAAGGATGCGAAAGATATGTAAATTACATTACAACAAGTCACACACTAATAACTATCTGAAATGATGTTGAAAATCTCTTTTTGACATTGAATAATTCAGCTGTTTCTTCCTTTTTGCCTCTCTCATTGAATAGTGCAATGGCAGTATTCTGCGATTGCAAAAAAAGAGCCAATAATTGGCACTCAATCATTTCATCAATTTTGAAAGATTTCTCTCCGAAAATCATTCATACACTCTATAAAATACTTTCCCATGAGTAAAACAAAAAGTTTACATTTTTGCTCTTTTTCACTGTGTGTGTAAAGAATGACGTAAAGATTTGAAATGCAACTTTGTTGAACTTTTTTTCTCCCACCAAACTATCCATATCATTTCCACTGCTCTCTTCTATCAATTTCACGATGAGGTCACTGTTCATAATGCGGAATAGTTGAAGCAATGAAATCAAAAAAATATTGTACTTGCGCAAATACAAAATACGTTGATATGGACACGAAACAATAAGTAGGTAATTCAGCAAAGTGATATGTAGACATATATCAAATATAAAATTATATTATTTGATTAGTTGCTATTAGTAACTATCGAGAGTATCTGAAGCACAAGCGGACGATGTCAAGAAAATGCTTAATTGTTTTTCTCAAATTTTAAGTGTTTTTGGGAATTTGTTTTTTAAAAGATGATGTCACTTTGCTGTCATCTTTAGCTTGCATAAGTAGGAATGTAGGTAATAATATGACATGCTTATAGAAAAAGTATGGCTAAAACGGCGTTAATTAGAGTGATAATGGAACAGATCAAAAATACTGATAACATACTCACTTTTAATGATAGCAAATCAATCCTTATTTTAGAGCAAAAAAAAAAAAGAACATAAAACAAAAAGAACAAGGAAATTGAAGACGAATATCAGAGATTTTCCTGAAATTGATGGCTACTTGGCTTAATTAGCACTAAAAACTAAACAAGTATACAGTCTGTGTAATTAATAATTAAATATTTCGTAAATTCTGTTAATAACTGAATCTTCAAGAATTTGATCCGAAATATAAACAGCAAGTTAAATCAGAAATTTTCAATCAAATACAAATAAGAAAACAATAACAGTGGTTTCAAGCTTTAATCTGTTTCTAAATTTGATTCAGAAGAATATAGTATGAAATTAAATATGTGTTCATTTTTTTTTTTTTTTTGATTAATATTAGAATACATCTCTTTCAAAATAAAAAATTAAGAGCCGATGAAAGTTTTGCCATTTCAAAACTGAACTAAAAAATTTATTTATTCTAAGCTTAAAACCTGTTTTTTGATACGACTTTTGAAATTTTCTCAGTAAATAGTGGGATAATAATGCATTCTATGACACATTCATTGAAATATGATATCAAAGGGAAAAAAGAAAGCAAATAAAATTGACACTGTCACCACGGAGTATTAAGGCAACTTAGTGGCCTAAAACTTCTGATAGCAGTGAAATATGACAACTCCGCCTTATCTTACTTTTCATAAACTAGTACGGATAATGGAGACAACCATATATCATCATAAATAAATAGCTTCATTGTCCATCCTACTTCGCTATTTTATTTTGAAAATGTAAAATTTAAAATAAAGTGCTTTTAGTTGAAAAAATTACAAAATATTTTCAATTACGGTTATAGTTAGTTTAAAAATTAAAAAGAAATGCACGCCAAAGATCTTTATTTTCTTTTTTCAGCTTCAAAATGAAAAGTGAAACATAATTTGGAGAGATTTTTAAATTACAACCATAAATTAAATTGTAATATTTGCTTGTAAAGGAAATAAGTGCTGTAAAAAAAAATAATAGAAATAATATTACTAAGCAAAACGTTGATACAACAAACAAAATCACTGATTTGCTAATCTTTTGATATGCTGAAAAAATTTAAAAAGGAAAACATAAATTATAAGGGAAAGATTTTCTATTATTTCAATCGAAAGAGAAACGTTGAATGCAATGATGAATAGAAATTCAGAATGCGCCATATAAAGAAAAACGAAAAGCTTCCTGAAATTCGAATTTTCTTCCGTAGCAAATATTTGCACCAAATATTGAACAAAAAAAAAATGCATGAGTAGAACATGG